AGATAAGGCTATTGACTAGAGAGTCGATATCCAGCATGTTCATGATGCGTGATAAGTAAAATAAGCATATCGGCAATTATCAATTAATCAATTGTATAGATCTAACAAAGCCGATGATCATAAAAACATGCAAAAAAGTGTAAAACAGGTAGGCGTGAAATCATTCATATTAAATGAGAAACATACTAGCTTTTAACCAGGATAAAAACAAGTACAAACATGTAAATAGCCATTATATTCTCAACAAACAGGCTATCGGCTAAAATAGCCGATTCTAGTGATCTTGTCGTATAACATGCGATCACTCGTCCATGAGATATAAATAAATCTACAAACCGACTAGACTTAATCTATTGTACTGTCAACAGATTGAGTCGTCTGATGCAGCATTGACAGTAGGACCTTAGATCAGAGACTAGCGATCAATAGATCTACTCATAGCATAATATATGGAATCATGAAGGCATATTACACGCGTGGAAGCTCAGGCCATCGGCTAAATAGCCGATGGAAACATAGCGAGTGGTTGACGCCATGTCCTTCTTAATAGATAGATCCATTAACTATCACTATCCAATCTAACGCAATATCAACAGATCGAGTCATCTAATGCAGCATTGATAGTGAAATCAAACTAGATACTGGTGGTCAATGATCCCATCTCTTAATGAAACATGGCTTTAAACACTCACCATATACGATCGGGATCGAGATACATTAGTTGATGAGCAGGATCTAACGTCAAGAATTGAATTCATCCATGAGAATAACCAGCAGACGATAGATCAGAAAGATATGACTAATGAATCTCCATCTAGACCGAGTAATTGGTGATATTATATTAAACAGTAAACTATTTAACACAATATCGATAACTTTGATTAATACCAACGTTTACAAGAGATCAGTCGTCTGTTGCAGCCTTGTAAAGGTTGATACGAATCGATAACTAATCTATACCGTGATTTGTAAGAGATCAGTCGTCTGTTGCAGCCTTACAAATAACAATGTAGATCGATAATTAACTTATACCGCGATTTGCAAGAGATCAGTCGTATGTTGTAGCCTTACAAGTAACCATATAAGTCGTGATGGATACTCAGAAATAAGCCAGAGGTCAGGTCATCCGATACAGTCCTGCTTGCCCAAAGAACTCATCGAAATCTACTCTACTCGTACTCCTAAAGGGTGGCGTAAGATGAAAAGGTAAAGGTACTTGTTTGGTTGATCGATGAGAGATGTTCATTACAATAGCTGGGGCTCAATATTTATACCCGAGGCTCAACTATGAGTCCTGGTCGAACAAGACCGGTCACACAACTTGGAAAAAAATAAAGCTTCCTAAATTATGATAACTTGGACCCCAATCTTCCCTTTCTGTGGAGTCTGACGTGTCTTTCTTCTCCCGATCAATGCCATTCTTATTGCCGGAGTCTTCTCGAGATGATGATGTTATTGAAATCCAGCCGACTCTGATCAGCGTTTCGACCAGCCGATTCAGCACTTGCCTTGGCTCTTCTCAGTACATTCTGAATTATGGGGTCTCATGCAACGAATCAAATTCTGGTGTCAGCACAGGGCACTCATAAAAATTCTCTTTAATATTGTGCAGCCAATCAGGAGCTCGAGCAGGCTGCGTTGCGTCCGCTTGTTCGTCCATTGTACGGTTCAGGTAGATCATCCCTTTGGCTATGTGCCTCTTGTTAGAATGCTTAGCGCCAGATGTAAAATATTAACTCGTGGATGCTTGTGTAGCTTCTTTGTCGGAAACAACAGGGTTCGAAGATGATGGCTGGGAGTCGGATCGAAGCTGGCACCTCCGTTATGCGGAGTAGACCGTCGACCTTTAGCGGCTATGGCCTCCATGATATCGCTGTCTCAGAACACTTATGCATTATCTATGTATCGTAGGCTACGCGTTGGCATCCTACCTTGGGGACCATGTTGACTGTTGTGCGTTCTTATTTATGGTGTGCTACGTTGGAACATGTTGGTTTTGGATTATGCATTCTTGGTTATTTGCCTTACTGTTTGTGTGCCATTTCATTTGGAGAAGCCAGAAGCTGAGAGCTCTCAAAGATTGGCTATTGTCGCCTCTTCACAACGGTGGTTTGGTTATGTAGAATATCATCTACTTGAGTTTAAGACTGCAGATTTATGTCATTTATTACACAGACCATGTTGTTTACCTTGGACTAAACTCTTTTGCTTTTGATCTACTTTATTTATTCTGGGTCCCAACCCGTGCGCAAGGGCGCGCCATTATCACTAGTGACAACAATTTGGGACAGAATCTCCTCACCCTCATGTAACTCATGTAACTTGTTACTCTGTTGTTTTATTTCAATAAATTTTTTGTAGGGGCTGCGGCCCCTCCAGTTTCCTCAAGAACAAAAACAATTTGGGATAGAAGTATATAGTAACATATATATGGGGATACATTTTTGCGATGCCTTATATGTGTGATGTGTAAGTTTTCATTGGGGATGAATAGAATGTTTTTGTGATGAAACTAGCTTTGCTTCCAACAATCCAATACTACTACAGAAATCTTAATGGAGACGGGCATAAAGGGTTAATGAAGGCGGGCATTGCAACTGCCTCCAATCAAAGGTCATGGTTAATCGTGACATTACAGAGGTGATTGTTTTGCCCACCTCGGTTAATCGATTAACGGAGGCAAGCTCTTTAGAATGCCCGCCTCGATTAATCGATAAAAACAAAAAAAAAATCCACGAGCCCGCCGGCGAGCCTATTCTCGAGCCCGCTGGCGAGCCCGTTCCTAGCCCAGTAGATAGATCTGGCGTCGCCGTCGCTCGCCGTGCCGCACATAGGAGCATGCACCTCCACGGCGATCCAGACCGCCGCCATCGCCGGATCCAGGTGCATCTGATCTCCTCGCCGGATCCGGGCGCTGGCGACCTTCTCCATGCCGGATCCAGAGCATGCACCTCCACGCCGCCACTGGATCCTCAGCCCTGGGAGGAAGAGAGAGTGAGGGAGAGAGAGGAGCAAGGAGAGATGGTGAGTGAGGGAGAGAAGAGCGGACCTTACCTGTGTCGAAGAGCGGATCGAGGCCGGCCTCCTCCACACTCACCAGATCTAGTGGAGCTCGGGGCGCCGCCTCTCGGTCCTATGCCGAGCGTGGTCGCGGCCACGTGCCGAGGGTCGAGCGCCCCCACAGCCCCGTGCCGCTCGCCTACGCCACTGCAGACACACGCCCCTCCCCTAGCACCGCCACGGCCCCACGCTGTTGTAGTCCCACGCTGCTCGCCGAGGGAGAGAGGAGAGGACGAGTGAGGGAGAGAGAGGAGGGCGGTTGAGGAGGGTGAGGAGAGCGCTCGGCTGAGGAGGGCAACGAAGGAGGGAGAGGGCTGAGGAGCGTGCCACTCTGCTGAGGAGAGAGTGAGGGAGAGGAAGAGAAATGACCGAGTGAAAGAAAACCCTAACTCTGTGTATTTATATCGAAGATGGCTATTGGGCCTCGCCTGGGCCTGTTGGGCCTCAGCCTTTTTCGGAGGCGGGCCGGCCTTATAGTGTGCCCACCTCCGAAAATAGATTTATGGAGGCGGGCACCTTAAGGCGACCACCTCCATAAATAGGCTATTTTTGGAGGCGGTTGTCTTAATGTGCTCGTCTCCGTAAATCGATTTTAGGAGTCAATTGGATTTTGACCGCCTCCGTTAATCGATTTTACAAGGTGGGCAAACGTGACCGCCTCAGTAAATAAATGTGACAACATCCGTTAATAGCCCACCATTTTTGGAGGCGGTTGGATTTTGTGCCCGTCTCCGTTAATATTTGTGTACCGTCGCTTAAAATCATTTATGTAGTAGTGCAACATATTGCAAATATATGTGAGATGGAAGCAGAGAGGCGTTGCTGACATTTGAAATTGGAGGAGACTCCAATTGGCAGTAAAAATATACTTGCTTCGTATTTTATGACGTCATTGACTTGACATACGTTTGGCCACTCGCCTTATTCAAAAATAAGTGCAAACATGTGAAAATATAAGTTATACTTACAATATAATCAATGATAAAACAAGCCATAACAAAATAAATGATAATAAGATGATTTTTTAATAAGACGAATAGTCAAATGTTGAGTTAAAAGTCAACGATATCATAGAGGTAGGGTTTACGTAAGTGTATTATTCGAGCAAGTATATCAGTAGGCTGTAAGCAGGCTAAATATTGACGTGAAGGAGAGAGGAGAGGAGAGAGGGAAAATGGGTTGTAAGCTTTCCACCGGCTTAGAAATAAGAATCGAGAAACTCTGTTCGAGAGACATGTGGGTCATGTATTAATGCTGAAGAGCTAACTACTATATGGGTGAGCTGAGAGGTAGATTGTAAGGATCTTTGCAGTTATGAGCCAGCTATATTATTAGCCTTGCTGTTCATAGGAACGAGTGTCTGTAGGTTAGGTTGTGAGTGTCTGAGAAGGCACAGTATCATATATTTAAATAGAATAGGGCCTTAAAAATGCATTAAAATCTTTTTGAGGGGAAATAATATACAGTAATAAAAACACTTGAACTTGGCCTCATGCACGTGGATAGGCCCAGTCGACCCGCAATTTACGGTCGCCGACGTGATGACCATTGAGCTTGTCGACGGCCTCCTCGGCGTGCTCCCCTCCTTGAACGCCACATAGACGAAGCCAGTGCTGCCGGGCGCGCGACGGCGCGAGATCGTCGTGATAACGGACATCCGGAGCGGCCGAACCGCTAGAAGAGCCGCTCCAGGTCCCTATGGTCAAGGCTCGACGGCAGGTTGGTCACTCGCACGAAGCACCGCAAGGCGTCCCGACGGCGGTGGCTCGCCGCCGCCGCCGCCGCCGCGTGCCGGCCGGGGCCGCACCCCGCTCTGCCGGTGTTGCAGACGCGCCCGTCCATGTAGTTCCAGGCGCAGAAGTACTCGTTGTGCCATCTCGTCGTGCCGCAGATGCAGCAGGTTTGCCGCTTGTCGTCAGTGTCGTCGTCGTCACGGCGACATGATGCCGTCGCGGCGGCGGCTCCTTCCTCTGTGCAGCCGCCTCGTCAGCGGCCGTATCCTCCACCTCCTGCTGGCCCTCGCCGGCAGCATTGCGCACGGCGACCGGCGGCGGTTGGATCGGCACGTGGTTCAATTCACCTTGCAGTTGCCCTGGGTGGTCTGTTGTCCTCGCGGTCTTCTTCCCGGTTGTCGTTAACGACGCTCCGGTCATCATCATCTTCTTCCTCTTCTTCCTCTTCCTCCTCGTCTTACGGTTCTTCCTAGGCGTTCCCGCGTCGTTGGTCATGGATCTCGTTTTCGTCAATCGTCACCCGACCCTTCCTGCTGGTACAACAATGGCAACAATGGCATCCAACACAATAGGGAAAGAGTCAGATACTCAGATGCGTTTATTTGGAGGACGGTAATACCCTTTTCTTTCTTTATATCGTCGTTTCCGTTTTCCACCACCCAAAGACTCTGCTCTCCGAAGAAAATGAAGGAAAAATTGTTCTAAAGCTCCAAATCAAATCAAAAAGAGCTCTAAATCGAGTAAAAGACAGCATATGATTTTTCCTCATGTCTCCCCCGCTCAATATAAAATTCTTAGTAATCCACAGAGTGCAAACAAGACCCCATTTAACATGTCAGCTCTGCCATTCCAAAATAGCCTATCTGTGCCCTTCCCTCACCCCCTCTAATTTCCGTATCTAATCTAAGAATCTAAATTTAACCATAATGTCACCTCTATTTTTCGTATTTAAGATCTAGATTTTATCCATAATTTATCCTCAGGTTAGTTAAGCTCATCTACGTTTGAGGTATATAAATTTGTATTTATATTCTTCGTTACAACACACATGTATATTTCCTAGCCTAATATTGAAGACCCTAAATCTCATCCTCATTTTTTTTCTGCTATATATCTCAACGCAACTACAGGACAGTGAAAAAAAATTCCATCCCGCTTATTTTACATCCTTTGTGTCTCATATGTGATAGGGACTCATGACCCATGATCATATACGAGTAAATACAAATCGTGTCTAGCGATGATTGATATGGAGTCTGATTGTAAAACGTATTCGATCGCGTTCTCGGTATATGATCCAGACTCATGATCCGTGCTCGTACGAGGGTGAACAACTCGATTCTAGCAATGCTACGAAATTCGATTTCTATATGTATTTGATTCCGTTGCAATGTACGTGCACATTTACTAGTTATTACTAAACCAGTTTATGTTGTATACGGTCGGGAACTTCCCTTTTATTTGTACTGTATCTCTCCATACGTTATTACTTGTACCATGGAAAGCACGAGTCTGCGTAGTCAAAGTTTGATCATACCTTCTTATCTGCTGCAATTCAAGCGTTTGTATAGCGAGCGAATTCTTTTTTTTTCTTTCTTTATTTATGAATTTGCTTTGTGTATTCTAGTCTTGTGATGACCATGAAAAGGCGCAAGGCGCCGGACGGGACCGCGGAACCCTGCTCGGGGGTCGGCTGCGGTGATCGCCTCAGCAGCCTTCCCGACGAACTGATCGGGCGAATCCTCTCCTTCCTGCCCACCCTGCAAGCCGCGCTCACGGCCCAGATGTCGCGGCGAGCCTGGGCGCACGTCTCCGCCCTGAACCTGTCGGTCCGGGACTGCGTGCGGAGAGGGAAAGGGCCCCGGTTCTGCGCCCTCGCCACCGCGGCGCTCGCCCGGTTCCCGACGCCCGGCATCCCCGCCATCTCCGTCGAGGTCCACCACCACATCTACCTCGTCAATGAGTGGTACGGCCGGGCGATGGCGCGCGCGGTTGGGTCCGTGCGCGTCGCGTCGCTGCGGGGGCTGAGCTTCCTGCGCCTCCTTCCCTGCACGCGCGCGGAGGCGCTGGACGTGACCGCGCCGCGCACCACGCTTGCGTTCCCCGAGGCGGACCTGGCGTTCGACAGGCTGGCCGAGCTGAGCCTCGCGCTGCTGCAGCTGGGCGGCGCGGCCCCTGGACGAGTTCCTGGCGTCGTGCTGCCGCCGGCTGAGGACGCTGCGGCTGCGCCGCGTTAGGGGGCACTCCGTGCGCCGGCTCGCCCTCCGCACGGGCGTGCTCGAGGTGCTCGACCTCGACACCGTCGACGACTTGGCAACCCTGGACGTGGTGGCCGCCAAGCTCCGATGCCTGAGCGTGAGCTCCTGCTTCCGCCTCGCAACAGACGGCGACGGCGGCAAGGTGACCGTCTCGGCGCCGCGGATCGAGGCGGTTTGCTGGTACCGCAGCTACCCGGAGCAGCTCACCTTCCGCGACAGCGGCCTGGCACACGTCCGCCGGCTCGCCAGCCCGCTCAAGATCCTGACGTTCGGACGGTGGGACCAGTTCGACGCCCCGTACACCACGCAGCTCCTGCGGTCCTGCGCCCTCGCCGTCGACCAGCTCGACATGGAGCTCGTGGTGCCGGACGAGATGGCTCTGCTCAACTGGCTCGGCGACCCTGCAGAGGCGCGCGCGACGTGCGAGGACGCTGCCCTGTGTTCGCGTGCTCTCGCTGAAGATCCGGTGGGGGTTCGGCGGCGGCGTCACGCCACGCCTGGCCTCCTTCCTCTCGCGAACGCCGAGCTTAACGAGGCTCCGCATCGATGCGAGCCCCTACTGCCTCACCGTCTATGTAAGTTGTTCATTCACGCAACGAACTCGATAGATCTTCATCTTGGGTTATATTATTACGGTAAGAGTGCATTTGAACCTGGCCTGTTGATCTCAGGAGGGCGAAGAGGCGACGGCGCCGCCGCCGCGAGGAAAGCAGCAGCAGTGGAAGAGGAGTGACGTCGGCGCGGATGAACAAGCCGAAACACTGTTCCTGCTGATTTGTTGTGAGAGAAAAATACTGTTCCGGTGAAAAAAAAAACTTGAAAAGTACGGATTATAAGAGAAGCGAACAGGGCCAGATGTTAGTAACAGCCAGGTAGCTGCAACAACTAGTTCTGTTAACGAAAACGTTCAAGCCATCGCACAAACGTATAAGCAAGGTTCATCTAGACATGAACTACTAAAAACATAAGGTAGACTTCTTAAGAAACTCGGTGATGGTGCTAGAAAGTGTGACAGCCATTTCACTTCTTGACGGATGGAGCCACCAAGTTACCCCTTCCTGCACGCCACCACCAAGTACCAACTCAGCAACTCGTCTATTCATTGCAATTCTGCTGATGGAGACTGATGGTGATTCCCGGCACTGGCCTCACCACTGCAGGCATGAGGGCCTTGTTGCCGGCCTACTAACCAAATTTCACATCTTATTTCTCCCACCTCCACAGATCCACTGCTCCCCTTTGATGTCTCTCCAATCACCACCACTGCGCCTCTTCCCATCACCATTTCTTGCCTCCTTCCCCACCTCCAGCGACACACACAAAGCCTTCTACGGTCAGATACTACGCGTCGCAGAGGGACAGGTCAGGACTCATAGGAGAAGCAGTTGGCCCATGACTAGCTGTAACTTGTGTCCAACTTTTGTCCAGCACGTCCAAGGTTTTAGGTTCGAATAGGGGAACAATGCCTTGAGGGAAAATGGATGAGAGGATTACGCTTCGCAGTATAGATTGGTTTAATCCGAGATCCGAGTAAACCATACCAAAACAGGCCTACGTCAACCAGCCGACGTGAACAACCCTCTACCACCTAGCAACGGACCAGGAGAAGAAATCCAACAAAATCCATAACAACGTCAGCACCACCAAACATCCCAACAGACGACAAACAGCGGAGAACAAAACAACACAAGAGTGTAACACAGGACAATAATCTGACATCCGCGGGGACCATACCAGGCATTCAGCGTCGTCCAGCAGCAGCACGAGAAAGCCCCTGGCCCCAACACAGAGCACCTGAAAAAAAATCAAAGCAGAACAAACAGAGAAATTAGGGGAGCCGTGGGTCACCTCAGCTCGCATCACCACGCCGTGCGAGCATTCCATCAAACACCTACGGCGCGGGCATCCCACCGAACACCCACCCGCGGCTCGCCGACCCCAACCAGACGCCGCGACAGCTCATGGAGCCAGCACAATGGCTGGTCCGCCCAAGCCCCCGCACTGGTAGCACGGCCGACACACCCGCACCCAGCAACAACGGCGTCTGGCCCATCGCCGACCGCCCCCCACCCCACATCGGCGCCGCCGCCCCTGACAACAACATCCACCCATACGGCCCGCACCAGCAATGTCGCGCGAGGATCCGACCGAAGACCCACCGAAGCCTCACCACCCCAAGCACACGCCGCAGCAACGCACCAAGCTACCGCAACACCTACCACTGCCAGGACTCCACACTGGCGCCGGGGCCGTCACACACGCACCCCGCAACAACGGCGCCTGGCCCAGCGCCGACGTACCCCAACCCATGGAAAACGCCGCAAGAGAGAGGGAGCGCGGGACGTGGTATACGCACCTTAGAAACCGGCCGAACGAAAGGAGAAGGAGAGAGCCCCCGACGGCGAGTAATCCTATTAAAAGTGGCCCTCCGAAGGCAGGCAACGTCTCCCTGCCAGCGGACCCCCACCGAGAGGTCGGCCAATGGCAGATTGACAACGGCCCCGGTCCGCAGGGGCGCCCTATTCCGGCGTACAGTAAAACCCTCCGTCGCAAAGCTCTCCCTGCCAGCGGACCCCACCGAGAGCTCGATCAATGGCAGATCGACAACGGCCCCGGTCTGCGGGGACCGGGGCGCCCCCCGCTGGCGCCCTGTTCCGGCCCACAGTAAAACCCTCCGTCGCGGAGCTCGAGGCTGTCGCCAGGCCCGCAGTGTCCGATTCCGCCAACCACCGTTCGACAACGGCCGTGCGGAGCAGGCGCGGCCCACAGCGTGCACCGCAGCGGGGCGCCCCCCCTCCGCCGCCACGTGGGACCAGAAGGCAGCCAGGCCCGCACGTTAGCCTGCGGGCCGGCCGAGCGCGGGCGCTCCCACCCAAGCCGGAACAGCCACGCCGGTCCTAGGCGACCGGCGCGCGGCGCCACCCACCCCACCCGTCCGGGCCCCGCCCGGTCAGCCACCGGCATCACGGAGGGAGCAGCCCGCGGGTCGTACGGCGGCGAGACCGGCTATCGGATGCGCGATCCGGCGGCCAACAGTAGAGCCGTCAACGCGGCCGGGGCAAGGGCCTCCCGTGGCCGGCGGCTCTCTTGGGGAGTAATTTTGGCTTTTCTATACACATTATTTCTATAATTTGGAACGAATGGAGCACTACCCAAATCCCAAATCTGCTCTATTACGAAAATACTTCCATATACGCCTAGCTTCGTGCTGGATTCAACAGGTTTCAACATGAGTCATATAAATGGAAGTTTCAGAGTTCCTATAAAGAAGGGAATATTTGATGCTTGCATTTTATTACACTATAAGCAACGATCCAAGCATTTTACGTTGAGCTTATTCAACAAGTACACGAGAGGAACACAAACAAGTTGATTAATGTGAGGACGTCCACGCTCGTAGAGGCTAGATTTGGACCACCAGGCAGTTGCATATGCAGATCAGTGCGGTGAACACAAAATGCCTGCTCGAAAATGGATCTCCGATCCGTGACTCCAGACCCGGTTCAGTCACGACCCGGCTGACAAACAAATTTCGTATACATAGGTACTTACCATATGTTAAAGTTTTCCAGACAAGCAAATAGAACTGAGCACACACACAACGGCAAAAAAAAAAGTGCAGTATAAGTTGTTTCTTTGAGCAAAGATATAAGTTTACTGCATTTTATGTTTCCAATTTTCAGATACAGCAAAGCTTGAGCTTATCTACACAACCAGCTAGGAATGCAACTTAGCTTTTTGCAAAGTCACTTCGATGCGACATCACGAGTCGGACACTAAACTGTAACTGTTCGGTAACCAGAAGCAGCTATCACACACACAAAGAGCATCAAAAGGTTCATGGCGTCTGGACCTTTCAATCGGCGGTGCTACATATTTGCCGTCCAATTCCACAACTGGCTTGCCAAACATCCACAAGCAATTGCCATTTTGCAGATACAGAGATAGACAGACAGCCAGACAATTAGAAACGTCTGAAACATGCAGGGCAAGGAACATCGATAAGCCTTCATCAACGAGCTCAATGTATTGGACGCCAACAAGTGAGAAGTGACAGCCCCACGAATACAGCAATGGAGGCTAGGACCCTAGAAATTTGACCTTTCACAGGCCACATCCTGAATAGTCAACACCTGTGTATTCTTATTGCCCAAAGTAAGAAAAAGGGCTGGCCACCACATCAGTATACCGTGTACAAAAAACCATGGTCACTAACTATCGTATAATTGGATAGAAAATCAGAGTTGGACGGTTGGAACATTAGTGTACATTGCGAAAAATGAAAAGAATGCCTCCTCGGCATCACTGGAAAAGTATGCCGCAATGGCCCCTGTTAAACGCTTCATTTGAAAAAATAGTTGAAATCTTTATTCCTACCGATTTCTTGATTAAAAAACACGTTCCAAATTTAAAAAAATAAAAGAAAAGTCACGGATTAGAAAAAAATATTGTTCATCAGTAAGCAAAATCTGGAAGGGGCACGGAAAATGACTAAATATGCACATCCCGCTTCTCTGCTCAGTCTCAGGGAAAAATAGAAGTAACTGAAGAGCAAAAAAAAGGGGTTAAATAACTAAACTGAAATTAGTAGTAATTAGCAGCAGGTAGCCGATTCATCTTTCTGAAATAATGGAATGTAATATCTGAAGGGTGTGGACGGATTTACTATGACAAATCTCAACTACAAAGCATTAGCCCAGTTCATGCACATCCCGTTTACTCTTTTCAGTCTCAGGGACAGGATCCTGTTAAAGCATCTATTGTTTCTCAGATATGTGAAGTAACTGAAGAGCAAATTACTCCTTCATCGAAAGCTACTAGATATCTATGACAATTTTATCATCAGAGAAGAAATATCTCCCCAACAATGTTCTAAAAACATATTCATTCAGTTTGTTGTCAAGATACCCCTCCCCAACAATCTTGCTCTGTACTGAACTGACCATTTCCACAGCAGATCATCAGGCCTTGGTTAGCCAGCTGTCCAACAGATACAACATTAATAGAGTCAGCCCCTTTGATGGCAGGATAACCACTACCAACAGTAGCTCTTCTTGTCCCAACACCTCTCATGCCTAAATTGTCAAACTAGCCAGCAACACATTGTTACATAGGGGGTGGTGACTAAGGAACTAACGGAGCATTGGTGGTGGAGAGAAGAAATACACTAGCACGTAAGTAGAATGAGTTCACCATTTCCAAAGTCTTTATACACCGAGAAGGTTCTCAAAGACAGACTTACCCCCTAAGTGCAGGACGTTCTTAGACCATTTATAGCGGGGTAATACAGTCAGTTTGCTAGAGGGAAGTAGACAAGCAGTCATTGACGCCTGTCGATCGAAACCTTATTATGCCGTCAATGCCGGGGCCCTACACTCCTAATGCTTGCTTCTTAATTTCATTCTTAGTTTAGTTTCTTTTACATACATGCGTGATGTCTCAAGAGCTAACATAAATTATCTGGGATAGGATAGTCACATTCTGATTTCCAGGTACAGCTCTTTAATTCCTGTGCCTAACTTGAAGCCTAGCTTGGAGACATAAGGGAGTAGTGCTTAGTCATCAATGAAGACGATGCAATCCGAAAGCATAAACTGAGAAATAACCTGCTTGTTATTATAAATCTACAAGCCATAACCAAATAGTACACGACTACCTTTAATCTACCCAAATACTGTCGAGGGGGTGCATCGTCCGCGGAGCCATCGTCCATGCTCGTGCGGCTGGAGCGCCGACCGGAGACGCCGCAGCCTACGGGGCCAAGCAGCAGGCTCCATCGTGGTACCAACAACGGCCTTTATCGTCCGTCGGCGTCATGGGTATGAGCGGTAGCATCTGCCAGCACACAGCAGGGACTAGGAATTGGAGAATATTATAGAACAGAGGATTGGATCATTGAATCTGGGGTTCCAAACTGGAATGTTTAGAGTAAAGTTTGTACAGTTTCCTGATACCCCCAAATGAGCGTTCACAGGCACACCTACGGCTCACAGAGCCACACACGCACACAGGCACATTGATCCACTCTGGCTCGAATAGTTTTGAGTTTTGAGTTTTGCCTCCTGACACGACCCATTTGCGTTCATTGTTCCTCTGGACTCTTAGGTATGGTAATAGTATCACAGGCTACAAAGGCGGAGGCGGCAACGAGTCCACAGATGTGTACAGAGTCCGAGTTTTGATCCATCTCTTACCCTATTACCCATTTGTTACCCACGCCCTGTTGGACATTACCTGTCGGTGATGGGTCATTTGGAGGTACTAAATGGATCACCCGCGTGTGTAATTATGGCATCGCTAATTAGTCTTCGCTATCATACAAAGGGGCTGTTTATTCATTAGATCGGATTTTAGTCTATTTGAGGTGGGGTCCAATGTTTCTCTCTATTTCACCCGTATTAAATATATTTGGAAAAATAACTTATTATCATTTTAACCTAATTTCCAAGGCATCTTTTAAGCCTAAATTAGTCCATGATTTGATAATGTGGTGCTAAACTAAAATATATGCTAATGATGGATTAATTAGACAAACATAGATTCCCTCTCCTCTCTTTACCCTATTACCCATTGGTTTTTAACCCAACTCCTGTTGGACATTACCTGTCGGTGATGGGTCATTTGCGGGTACGGGGATGGATCACCCGTGGTGTCCCAGATGGCATCGCTAATTAGTCTTCGCTAGCATACACAGAAGGCAGAGACGAGAAGGACATCATATACCGGTTGTAACTCAAGTGGCACTACAACATTGTGAAGCAGTAGTACAACTACCAGTGGCTCTAGGCTAGTCCTAAGTAGAGGCAGTCTCCTGGATTGCACCATCACATCTACCATGTGTAGCTCTTCGTGTCCCAACACCTCTCATGCCCAAATTGACAAACTAGTCAACAACACATTGCTACATAGATGTTGGTGACTAACGGATCCTGCATTAGTGGTGGAGACGAGAGAGAAGAAACATACTAGTACTACGTAAGTAGAATGAGTTCACCATTTTTGGTGTTTTTATTTATACACCTTGATAAGGTTTTCAAAGACCGACTTACCCCTGAGAGTAACAAGTTCTTAGGCCATTTATTATAGCCCTAACTGGAGGGATAATATAGTCATTTTCTAGAGGAAAGTAGTCATTGGCGTCTACAATTCAACACCTTAATTATGCTGTAAATGTCGGGCCCTGCACTCCTACTTCATTTTTTGGGTTTTCATGGCCTATAGTCCCCTGCCGCCGAAGCACGAACTACTTGAAATCATGAAAATTTCATCCTTAATCTAGGCTTTTTTTACATGATTCAATGGCTAATATAATTATACGATTTCTATAACTAATTTATGCCTTTGAATTCTGCTTAGTCGTCAATCAATCCAAAAGCATAAACTCAAATAATAATCGAATTATTATTCAGCATGTTCGCTGCTTAGTCGTCAATCATATCCAAAAGCATAAACTCAAATAATAATCTGGCTTATTATTATATCTAAAAACCATTATATCAAAACCATAACCAAATAGTACACGACTACCTTTAATACAATGTTACTACTCCAAATTAAAGCTAAGGATTGCGTGATTTCATCACATCTATAATTAATTAATGAAGAATAAATGTCCCAATTCATGAATGGTAACGGACTAACAAGTTGTCAAAGAAAGCCAGCTACTGTACTAAACTGTCATAGCCGACTCCTCTAAAGGGCACGGGAGGAATGGAGCTTTGAACCACAACCATGGCTATTACAGGTTCGTGCAGCGTAGGTAGTCAGAAGCAGACGAGAGAGACTGCTATCGATTCTGGTAATTTCTTCACGAAATGCAAATGGACAGAGGAACAATAATGAAGATATAGATAGTAATTGGCAGGTTTATTATTTGGATCCGACCAACAAAGAAGCACGCCCTGTTCGCTTGGCTTATAGGCCGTATTTTTTATCTAACGAATAGTATTTTTCTCTCATAACAAATCAGCCAACGGTACTTTCAGTCATTGCTTATCAGTCAAGCAAACAGGGCAATTGAATTTCATTGAAGGGATTAAACCAACTGGATTCAGGCTAAAATTCTTAAGGTCAATGCATCCCATCCTCTCTGCGCTGAGTTCTTTACCACCTGATGAGTATACAGGTAGCCGGTCTTCCTTCTTCACCTCCCTCAAGTTACCCATTATGGCTTCATCATAGCAAATGTGATGTGTCGCACCGGAGTCAAACATAAATTTAAACTTCTTCTGTGAGGTGCAAAGCACATATCCAAATCTTCTTCCAGAAAGCTGCACCTGAAACTTCAACAACTGTTAGCTAAATTTTAGATATAAGACGAGCAGGTAGAGTATACAGCTCATCATCCTAGTTTAGATTCTCCATTTGAATGGATCACTGAAAACATAGCTCAAGCACAGTTCAAAACAAGTGTAGGAGAAGGCAACCAAAAGTTATCTAATGTAAATCAGACCACAGGGCTTTTCAGAGAACTATGAAGACAAATTCCTATAACAAACCACATATCCTGCAGAAATGTGGTTATTCACTCTCTAATTACAAAAAGAGAAACTATGTATAATAGAAAGGAAACTAATATTACTAGGTTGGTTCCAAAAACACGCTAAAAAAGGCTTAAATAACTCCAATAGGTACAACATAGAATCCTAAATTCATAGAATAACACAAGTCAACAACCATTTAGAAACTATGGAAGCAGCTTATCTGATCCAAAAAGCTAACAGAGAAACATGGATGCTTTGATCCATCAAGGATATAATGTCAAAACATTTCGGACAAAAAGAAACCCATGTTATATAGATTTAGGTACTGATATTTATGGTAATAACACATTAGATTGCAAAAGTGATATTTATGGTACACAGGGACAATACAGGTTATATAGATTTATGGTACACAGGGACAATACAGGTTTCTTATTGAGATCAAGGATATAATCAAGGACAATACAGGTTTCACATTAGATTGCAAAAGTGATATTTATGGTACACAGGGACAATACAGGTAATAACACATTAGATTGCAAAAGGACAATACAGGTTTCTTATTGAGATCAAAAGAAGATTATTTGCAGTGGAAGCTCCCAAGAACAATATGCTAAAAATAAACAAACAGAAGAAAAGGTTCTACTTACTGCTACATCATCATAGTATAGCAGCTTCACCAGAACAGTTCTCTGAACATGAGTAAACCATAGCTTCAGCACAACACAATCTATTACAATTTTGTAACATATTACAGAATGTTATAAAAAAATACCTCCTCTATATTTGGCTTTGAATCCAAACAGAAGAAAAGGTTCTGTTACTGCTACATCATCAAAAAAATATAGCATTCACCTGATTGTTCTCTGAACATGAAAATAATAGTTTCAGCAGGACACAACAGTGATTTCGTGAGTATTACAGAATGCCAGCCAAAAACACCCAGCCATTTGGCTTTGAGTCCACCTCTTCATAAGTGAAACAAGTGCTCTAATCATCTTACATCCGTACCTCCTGAAAAGTAACAGCCATGTCTGGATATGATCATCATAGGTCACAATGGTTACTTTGACACCCAAAAGGAACATTGGACAAACAACCAGAAAACCATGGAATAATCTACAAGATGCATTAAAGCACCAACAAGGATGAGACCTCAAACCAACTATGATTTTGTAAGCCAAGAAAATCATGAATAATTGATGTAAATCTAAATAAATCTAAATTTTATATTCATGTTTCTAGATACTCATGTACTTTTAGCATAGCCAACAGATAGACACTTAAACCTACATACCTAGTAAATTTCAGCAAATTCATACACAGAGAAATCATAATACTGAATTGTTTTTGTTTTAAGTTTGTGTTGCCAAGTGCAAACTTCTTTCAAATTGTAACATTCTAGATGCAACACTACTTTAGTACAAAGACTGCACCCTCAAGCAAGAAAATTTGTATCAAGAAAGTACTTCATCTGATCAGGTGTTAATTCTGAAGCATTTGGCTTGAATGCGGTGCTTCCATTTTCGCTCCCTGTCCGGCTAATGATCATTGCTATTTCCTCAGAATTTGTGTTCGGGTAGCTAAATGAGACTGTAGGGAAACATTGGCATATAATAAGAAAGTGCGTGACACTTGATCTCAATCCAAACTAATATGCTACATGTTATTGCCCTCAAAATATGCTACAAGTTAGCAAGAGTCCACAGGATGAAACTTACAGGCATACTCCTCAATCATCGGACCTTCCTCCTTCTCGCAGATACAAAAGAGAAGGGTCTTGAGGTATTTCTTTTGTAATGCATCACAGACACCTAAATATTTGTTTGCAAAAGTTGATCAAACAAACAAAATAGAAAACGAGTAGTAATACATTTGTCCATGCAAGTTAGAAAAATAATGGTCAAAGATGTGTGTTACAGACTTACAGTCTCACAGATCATGTCATGTACAAAACAAGTATAATGCAATAAATTATTTTTCGGAAGTAAACAAGATAGGTAGTAATCACAAATAGTTGACTCATTAAATGAGCTCAGGACATTCTTCACCTTTCTCCATCCAATCTACGAGTCTCACCAAGTCATGATCCACTGGCATAAGCTTCTGATTCTTCATCTCTGCATCAAGAAAAGTGTTTGAGGTAAAAATTTCACATCAGCTGTAGATTTTGAATATAGGCATTGGGTTTGAAGTTATTGCTAATTCTGACCTGGTGATAGAACTGACTTTTCACTGAAACATTTCTCATGAAATAGGCCTCTTATGTAGCATATGTGATATATGGCAATCCGAAGTAGATTCCTGGTCTGTTTGATAAAATTAACATAACAGTTACAAAGCAGGCTATGTCGTGATTTCATCAAACTAGATAGGTATTAAGAGAAAATGGTTAAGGAATTGAACACCCATAAACTCATTAAAAATTTAGTTCATTGCCCAAAAGACACAAAAAAATGGACAACAATGTTCACCCAAAAAACAAAAACATCACTAGCTGTGTCTTTCAAATAGTGAAACGCGACATATAGGGACTTGCTTTTCTCAAACAGTATGCTACTAGAGCATTTTCAAGAACATACATAAGAGGTTTTTGATGATGTGGATCATTATGTTATTGAACCCAATACCATTGCACATTCAGAATGCTAACCAAAATAGATATTAAGAAACAGAAAGCAAAATACTACAGACAAGATGCAACTGGATGATCATAGAAAAGGGTATAGGAGATGGCAAATAATAGTTATCTAATTGGAAGCAAACCATAGAGATTTTCAAGTAAATATAAGGCAGTCAAACTTCTGTAACAAACCAAACATACTGCAGTCACTGAACTATTACTAATAATGCGTGTTGTTCGTGCAAATTAGTCACATTCTAATTACCAAAACCATATACATAGGATTAAAATTGATAATACTATACCACTCTAGGAAAGGCTTAAACGATCATATGATTGCCCCAAGTACACCACAGAATTAACAATCTAGAATGCCAAGGCGAAGAACCAATTAGAAACTGTAGAAGAAGAGTTCATGATCCCAAAAACTATGGCAGAAATATGTACTGCTTGGTTCAAACACAAAGTAGAAACTAAATTAAAATATATCCAGCTACTAGACACATGGGCACTGGTACTGTTAAAGTTAATAAAAGTTGTGCTGCTGTTCAAAGCATATTTGGACATAAATGTATCTCCAAAGCAGCAGAAATTAATCACAGAGACGTGCTCCTAAATATCACTGAAATTTAGCATGATGCAAGGCTAAATTAATAAAACGCAAACTGAGTGAGTATTCAATTGATTGACAACTTTAGAGGCTTCTAGCGAAACAGTTGGTGACCATTAGAACGACTAATTTCTCCAAAAATAATAATTGAACCGACTAAAAACCATGTATGCAAAGCAATTTGATGGGATGTACATCTATGCATCGCCCAGACCGGTGGAATCAAAACGAAAATGAACGGGCGTGTACTGCCCAACAACCATGTCAAGACGAATCGAAGATTTACTCACTCCCAATGTTGAGAATCGCCGAAATCAACTGTTTAAGCAGAAAAACAACTCGATATAATTCGCTCAAGAGCTAGAGATTTTCGAAACCACAGAAATCAGACCATAAACCTGGCGAAATGCGCACCAATTTTACGCGAAATCGAGCGCGAACCTAATATTGAACTCTCCCTGAGTGATGTTCCGAATGAGCCAACGGATTCGAACAAGCAAGCAGGTAGCGCAACATACATCCCAAAATCCCAAATCAATGTGCATCCATCTGAAGAGCTCAAACTTATGCACATAATCGAGAGTGCTTCACTGAGAGAAGTAGGAACCAACTCAATTCGATCAATCCAGAAGCTATTGACGCGTGCAGTGTGCTTCGAACCGATCAACTGAATTCGAAGTTTAGAATCATCCAAAGCAGTAAAGAGACACCCAAACCTAACCGCTCAAGCAGAAAATGGCACTCGAATCGGCACACGAAATGGGGAAAACTTAGACGAACCCACTAATGAAGACTAGCAAACGCAAACCAACTCGATACGCGAGCACGGCGGTGCTCGAACCAACCCAAATCGAACCAAAATGCTCGTGATCAAACCCTCCGGCAAACAGCGCCCGGAAAATTCTAAGAGAACGTCTCGATCGAACACCCCGATTCGATCGGGTGCGGATTCCATAGCGGCCCGAACCCGCGAGAATCGCACGAAATCGAAGCGGAGAAGGGCGAGGAGACTTACCAGTAGAAGCATATGGTCCGCCATATCACTCTCCTCCGTCTTCTGAGCCACCACCTGCACCCGAACAGCGCAACCACGATGAGGGCACACACACGCCTAGAATCGCAGAACAAACAGCATGGAGGAGGCTGAGAGCTCACCATTCTCCCGCGCCTGCGTTGCGTGCGCGCGGCGGCAGGGGGAGGGAGAGGAGGGTGGTAACTGGTAATGGTGCGGGATTTGGGGGTACTTATAGAGGAGGGGATGAACGGGCAACGGCTGACGTCTGCAGCCCGCAGGCGTGGGCGGGCGAGAAGCCACTTTCGATGTCCCACCTTGAAATTCGAATTCCGGAGGCACGTGAGGTTGGAGAATTTCCAATATGTGGCGGCATCTTCCCAACTTTTTGGTTAGTAGTAGCAAGTTGTAGGTCATATTTACCGTCAATTCTGTTTATTCGCTTTTATCCATCAATTAATTCATAACTCACTTCATCCATCACAAGATACAAATTCCAATTCTTGAAAAATATGATATCCCATACTCAAGATATTTAATACTACTACGTTCGTTCCGAATTGTAGATCGTTTTGACTTTTCTAGATACATTTATTTTGCTATGCATCTAGAAAAGATAAAATGATCTATAATTTGGAATGGATTAAGTAGTAGTTAACAATAATATTACTCCATAATTATCATTAACCTTAACACGTGGAGTATATAGTTTCTTTTACTTAGCGGCCAACCACACACGTGTAGTTCTCCATGGTCAACCTTTTCACTTATATTGGGTGTATGCTGAGCTTGGTTGACATAATGTTAGTTGGGTGAATATCAAAATTTGATTCCCAAAAAACTGACTACAAGCTGAAATCCACCTACCACATTAAAAATATAATTGTCCACATAGATATATCCTCAAAAGCACAGCATGTAATAAGTGGTCGGCGTCGAAAGCAGAAATGCCAATATGTTGTTGAGATAACAACGTGATGCAAAATCAAGCTGTGTATTATCCACCACATCATTCCCTTTGGTGGATATTATTTTGATCGAAAGTTGTGATTTCGGGCCTAGGCATCAAAACTGATTCAGGGGCAAAACTGACACTATCCGTTCTAAATGTAAGTTGGATTTTTTTTAACATAAGTTTGACCGTTCATTTTATTAAAAAAATATGCAAATAAATAGAAATATGAATAATAGTAAAAGTTCCTTTGATGATAAAATAAATAAATCATAACAAAATACTCCCTCATTCATATTTATTGACGCTAGTTAGTTCAAAATTGAACTAACCAAGGTCAGATAAATGTGAGCTGAGGTGGTAAGTGATAATTACATAGTTTTTTTAATAAAAGGAATGGTCAAAATTGTATCCAAAAGCATTTTTGAACAGGGGGAGTATTTCCTAACTTGACGCTAACTCTAACATTTACATTTGGCACAGGGCCGACTTTGAAATAGCTTCAAGGGATGTAAGTGTAAAATTTGAAACTTCAAAATCAACGAGTTTTGGATGAACATTCTATCGAGGACCAAATTTGTGAGTATATTAGCATATATGCATAAGTTAATTGCAGTATGATAGATGCAAGGATGGACTTTGTAAGATGTCGAAGCTAATGTATACACTCGGGTGTGTATATAACAGAGATCAACTTTTGTTCCTATCAAAATATTTGTGCAGCACTGATTGCTACTGTACGTACTAATACTTTTTTTTCTAGGAACACACAAGATTACTACGAGCCTATTTGCTTGAGTGGCTAATATGAGGTCTGGCTAGAAATAGAGCATGGGTAGTATGGGGCTGGCTCTTTCTAGCCAACATAGGCTTGTTTGGTTGGGTTCTTTATCTGGCCCGGTTGAGGTGAGATGTTGTTTGGTTGGGTGCATTAGGTCCTGGCTAGCCCAGTGGAGCCAACCTGGGCTGTGTTTGGTTTCTGGCCAACCTAGGGTTCGTTCACCGTGTTGTGCGAAGGGTATCATTACCACCGCGACCGTACGCCTATATCCCACACACCCGCGCACTCGGCAGTCATTCTCACTCGCTCACCGCTCCGTCTCTCTTGCCGCCCTCTCGCCTTCCCTCTCCTCTCTCGAAGCCATCGCCGTCGAGCCACCCGAACCGTTGAGATGAGCGACCACCAGGCCGCCGAGGACTCCATGGCCGTGCGCCGTGCTTTGGGCCGGTGCAATGGTGGCTCCGGTTGCAACTGTTCCTCGCACTCTGCGTCTTCGCTCTACTTCCCGGCCGCTGGGTCCCCGTCGAGGAGCCGCTCGGCAAGGAGTGACGGCGCGGACTCCGTCGATTCGTCGGACAACAACAGCAGCAAGCAAGTGGCCGCATCCGAGGTATACATCCATTCCCCTTTCTGTCTCCCTTTTTACATCCATTGCCCAAACCCCATTTTTGTCGTGTAATCTCCTGTCGATTGAGCTATCGTAGTGTATAAAATCAGGTACACAGTAATCATCGACCAAATCCCTAAAGCTCAGCATAAAATCGAACCATCCGTAACGTATCTACGACAAACCGTAGCAGAAGAAAGAACGAAACAAGAAAACGCGAGGGAGATGGGGATTAGGCCACGTACCAGTGGCCCAACTCGCTTACCAGATGCGCCGATGAGGTTCACCGCCACCGGTGGCACCCCGAGGAGGACGAAGACGGAAGGGGGCGAGAGCGAGAGCGAGAGTGGCGCCGCAGAGAGCAAGTGAACAGTACCCCTGGGAGACCCTACGGGTCAGTGAGGCGTGGCTTATATTCGGTGGCTGCCGAGAGCCACCCAAGTGAAAGCTCTAGATTGGTTTTGGTTAATTGATGAAACCCTAAGTGCTAACCTAGTTTATCAAGATGATTATGAGATAGGTAGCACTACTCCAAGTGATGAAGCAATGACGAAGATCATGATAATGGTGATAGCATGGTGATGATCAAATGCTTGAACTTGGAAAAGAAGAAAGAGAAAAACAAAAGGCTCAAGGCAAAGGTATAAAATGTAGGAGCCATTTTGTTTTAGTGATCAAGACACTTAGTGAGTGTGATCACATTTAGGATAGATAGCCGTACTATTAAGAGGAGTGTAACTCGTATCGAAATGCGGTCATCAAAGTGCCACTAGATGCTCTAACTCATTGCATATGCATTTAGGATCTAGTGGAGTGCTAACACCCTTGAAAATATTTGTGAAAATATGCTAACACATGTGCACAAGGTGTTTGCAGGGTTGAGATGGGTTTGGGTCCCTCTCTCCCTCCCGCCGAGCTTGCGAGGCGGGATTCGGCGCTTTTGGAAAAATGAAATGTCTATTTTCTATTGCGCCGGATGCAAAATTCTTGGTGGTTGGCACATTTGAGCAAGGGTGAAGAAGTTAGAGTTGAAATGGAGTTGGTCGAAATGATCTTTGGCGTCGGTCTCTTGACCGGACGATTGAGTCACTCAATGACCGGACGCTAAAAAAGGCTGCGTCCGGTCGAGGTGTCGTCGGCACCGATGGGTAGGGTTGAGCACCGGACGACTGGTCTATGTCCGGTCAAAGTGGATCGACGCGTCGTCGAAAAAAACATGCCTTGGGAGCTTCTTGAAACGACCGGACGCTGGGGCTTCAGCGTCCGGTCGATTTGCCGGAAGCGTCCGGTCGCTTCGTAGCCGTTAAATCGACGAACAACGTTTGAAGTCGGGTGACGCGTGGCGTCCATCGGCGACCGGACGCCGAGGGCCAGCGTCCGATCGGTATGACCGGGCGTCCGGTCGAGCGTGTTTTGCCCAAAGAAGGGTACAACGGCTCTATTTGATGGGGCTCTATTTATAGCCCCATGGCCGGCTCAAGGGAGCTCTCTTGCACATTTTCATTGACATAGCAACCTTGTGGGCTTAGCCAAAGCCCTCCCACTCATCTCCATCATTGATCCATCATCATTGTGAGATTGGGAGAGAATCCAAGTGCATTGCTTGAGTGATTGCATCTAGTGGCACTTGGTATTCGTGTTCTTATTCTGATTTCGATTTCGCTTTCTCTTGGTGGTTGCCACCACCTAGACGGTTGGAGCAGCGGTGAAGGATCGGCACGAGTTGGTGATTGTTCGTGGCCGCCTTCGGTGATTGTGAGGGGAGTTGTACCTTCCCCGGCGGAGTGCCAAAAGGTAACTCTAGTAAATTGCTCGTGTCATTGAGTTACCTCACTTGTGGGTCGGTTCTTGCGGTGTCCTATCGTGTGGACGAGGTTTGTGAAACACCTCTTAGCCGCCGAACCACCAAGTGTTGGTCGACACAACGGGGACTAGCGTGTTGGCAAGCACGTGAACCTCGGGAGAAAAATTAGTTGTCTCTTGTCATTCGCATTCTCCCGGTGATTGGCTATATATTCATCGTGTAATTGGTTCACTCCACGACCCGGCGGTATAATCGTCTCACTTACTCATTTACATTTCCGCAAACTAGATATAGCAAGCTCTTTAGTGTAATTAGAATTGAGAGCTTGCCTTGTGCTTTAAACATATCTAGTGGAGCTCTTTAGTGTAGCCTTTGTGAGAGCTCTTAGTGAGTAATGGTCAAGTAGATTGTGTGCAAATAGATCAATTGCAACTAGAATTGTTGGATAGGTGGCTTGCAACCCTTGTAGAGCTAGAGCAAGTTTGCATTTCGCTATTTGTCTTACTAATCAAATTGCTCTAGTTGATTTGTAGTTTTTAAATAGGCTATTCACCCCCCCTCTAGCCATATTAGGACCTTTCACCAAGCCCATGGGACGAAGCGGGGGCGCGGCTTGGCCTAGCTAGGCCCCAAAAAAACGGATCGTTAATGCGTTCTTTGGGAGCCAAGCCCAGGTGCGTACGGAAGGTCAGCAGAAGCCTGGCTAAGGCCCAAAAACAAGCAACCAACATCCACATCTTAACTCCAGCAGGCCTGTCCAGGGATTGGCCACCCAACCAAAGAGGCCCTACTAGGCTCCAACGCAATCTCCTACTCCTGATCAGTTGGCCAGGGTGTAGGGAGCACAGCTGTCGACCGTGCACGTCAGAACGTCCTTGTAGTGGCGGATCCAGTATTTTATGTAAGGGTGATCCAATTTAACAAAAAAAATTAATACTGCAAATGAAATGCACCAATATACATACAAATATAAATAGATTAAAAGTGTCTCAAAAAACTATTTTGAAACCCACACTTAAATGAGAAAAATAGAGAGAAATATTTATTCAGGTGTGTTTGGTTTGAGGACAAGGGTGGGTGGGATATGGTCATCTATGGATTTCAGGATATGGATATCCATGTTGTGTGTGTTGGTTGGATAGATGGGACGAGCCATTTTTCTGTTTGGTTGATGGATGAGATTGGATAGGATAAGAATACTTAATTAATTATATTTATTATTTAAAAATAATAACAATAAATTATACACTAATAAATATGCACCGACACTAATCTTGTCATTATAATCCCTAATTAAAAATAAAATATGTTAATTAGCATTATACTACTCTAATTGTCACATAAAACATGCGCTAATCAACACGTGGATACGCTCATCCGTCAGATTTCTGAGGACCACGATATCCGGTATCTATCCAGAATATTCTCTATTGTGGATATCAAGTTCAGTTTGTCCATCCAACCAAACACCCTATATCCATAGATATCCATGTGTCGTCCATGATATCCATATAAACAAACACACCCTACATGGATCTTGGGTGTTGGCAAATTCTTAGGGTGGGCCATGGCCCACCAGGCGACCATACAAAATACGCCCCTGCGTCCTTGTAGTCCCGGCTGATGTTGATGAACGCCCTCGTGCGCGGCGCCGTCGTCGGTGTGGATGAACTCCACGCTCAACGTGAGCTTCACGTACCCGAAGCACCACGCTCCACTGCGGACACGGCCCCGCCGCCGTCTAATTCTTGCCATGCCTCTCCTGTCAACGGTTGCATCCAATACCTCATGAGGCAAATATTGGAATTGTTTTCCATTATCTAAGAAAGGAAGTACACGAGGATGCAAAAGGAAACGAGTGGTTCCAGTGTTGCCTGCGATTGTTTCTGCCATTTCTACTGCTCTCTTCATCCGAAATTATGTCATTTTAACTTCTTAGAGAGTAAAAAGCATCACAAGTTTGACCAAAATTAATGAAAAAATTACAAACATTTATGACATCAAATAGGTATACTACGAAAATATAATTAATAAAGAGTCTAATGATACCTCACTTAGACTTTTTTAGTTCATCTATATCTAAATACATAGCAAAATATATGTACAAAAAAAAGTTAAAACGACTTATAATTTAGAATGGAGGGGTATTATTTTATTATATAAAACTGATCAAATTTAAAATGTTTTGACTTAAATTGGGACAGAGAGAGTACATATATACATACATAAAATAAAATTGTACGGTGGTGTGACAGTGCTGCCGTATTTGATTTTACAATGCTTCAATAGCACATTGCTCTGTTCGCTTGGCTGATAAGCCATGACTAAAAGTACTGTTGACTGATTTGTTGTGAGAAAAAAATATTGTTCATTGCCTGGAAAAATACGGCTTATGATGTACATCTTGCTTCCATGGTTATCAGGCGCTGGGATACGCCCAGTCGACCCGCAAGCTACGGGCACCGAAGCTGTAGCAGTTGAGGTCCTCAACAGCCACCTCCGCGTCCTCTCGGCGCTCGAACACCACGCACGCGAGCCCCTTGCACTTGCCGGGTCCGTCCATGGCGACGTGCCACATCCGCAGGGGCCCGAACGCGGCGAAGAGCCCGGCCAGGTCGGCCGGCCGGCAGCTCCCAGGCAGGTTGCTCGCACGCACGAAGCGCCGCAGGAACCAGCACTGCTCGGAGAGGGCGCCCCTGCCTTCCATCCAGGCGGCGGCCCTCGCCCGGCAGGGCACGTACGTCGACGCGGCGGCGGGGGCGAGGTAGTTGTAAGGGCACGTCAGCTCCGTGTGCCCCGCCGCCGCGGCGCCCTCCTCCTCCTCCCCGCAGATGCAGCAGGGCTCGGCGTTCGGGTCCTTCCAGAAGTTGATGGCAGGGCTCGCGTCCAGATCCATCGTTGCCCCTGACGAAGCTATATGATCGTTGCTGAATTCAAGAATTTTTTATAGGTGGTGATCACGACGCAATCCGTGGCACAGATCCGGACATCTTGTTTTGCTATACGGAAACAGGAAAATCCCTATCTGGAGTACAACAGCAACAACATAGCAGCTGGCTGACGGGGCTGGCCAGCCTTCTCACAGAAATACTGTTCACATGAACCAGTAGTACTTCTCTCTCACCTAAATAAACTAGCAACGATACGAATCAGCCAACCGAACAGGCTGGTTCATGTCGATCTGGGACTCTGATGGAGACATGAACCATTACTACTCCACATCACAATTTTCTCATCATCTCGCAATCCAACAAGCGAATAACATCGCGCACAAAACCAGTATGATCAAGATCCTGTGAAAAACCTGACACAAATGCCTTCACATCATCGCCCTTCACTTCAACCCAGCTACACCCAGGAGCCTTCTTGACGCCGTGCTCAGCCATCGCTCTTCTCATCCGCTCAGCCTCGCTCACTGCCCAGTGGCGCAGAACAGGTTGGAACAGCATGACATAGCCCGCGTCTCTCGCGGGCTCGGCCGCCACCATGTCTTGCCCAGATACCTTCCTTGCAACCCCGGCGTTCAGGTGCTCCGATGAGCACGCGCTCAGTAGCCTTTGTGACGTTCCCTGATCTCGCGTACACGCAAGCCAGATGCTCTGTCTTTGGATGGATTCCATGCGCAGACACCATTGATTCAAACAAGGTCTTCTTCCCTTGCTCCAGAAGGCCGTCACCTCGTCGGGGCAGACACCGTTGGATTTCATGCTGTCATACATCGCCAGTGCTTCATTTGCCCATCCATTCATCGCGAACCCGAACAGCATTGTGTTCCATGAGATCAGATCCTTATCAGAAATGCCAGTGAACACATTGCTTGCGCCCTCCGCATCCCCGCACTTGGGATACATGTCCATCAAGCTGTTGGCAACATACAAGTAGGATGCAAACCCACTTTGGAACGCCCTGCCTTGGACTATCCTAGTATCCTTCCACTTGCCAGAGATGCCGCCGTAGCACAAGCATGCAGCACAGCCCCAATTCCCCAAATGTGAAGTCACCCGAGTGGATGTGTTCATGCTGTGCCAACATCTTGACAAAAAAAAGCACAAGGGCTTCATCAGGACAGCCATTCCTTGCAAGTCCTCGGATCATTGCAGTCCGTCCATGAGATTACATTGGTTTCAGGTATGCTTTGAACGAGAGAAGAGGCTTGTTCTACACAGCCAATTAAGCTCCATGTGAGCATCGATCAGTGAATTCCATGACACAATGGTCTGCATCGATCTCCATGGAGTCAAAGATCCGCACGGCATCATCGAGCAAGCTGAGTTTGGTGTACAAGGAGATCAGGGGTTACTGACCTCGGCGATGGCACTCCATCCACTCTGCACTGTGAGCTGTTCGGCTGATGGTTTTTGCGGCAGATAAGCCGGCTGATGCTGTTTATTGTTGAGAGATAAACAGCATCAACCGACTTATGAACTTGTGAACTGCTGAACTGCAAAGCCGGTAGACGGTTCAGGTCGCTCTGTGCAAGCATCAACAAGAATGCAGAATTGCAGAGCGTTGCATCATCACAGGTCAGTCCCGACATCCGCATCTCATTGAACAGAAGCAATGCCACCGCGTGAACAGCCCATAAGAAGTGTGTTCCAGGCGACATTGAGGACGAGATGATGGTGCGTGCCAAGCGGCGGGCTGCGCGGCCGTGCGGGAGGGTTGGGGTCCTTGGCCCTTGGCCCTTGGGCGGGGGGGAAGACGTGGCGAGAGGCAGGGGTCCGCGTGGCCGTGTAGTTTGGACGAAAAGGAATCGTGGTCTGGAGTCTCGACGAGAAATAACGGCCGGTCCGGGTAAAAAAAAAATGGCGACCGGTGCCAAGCGGCGCAAGGCGGACGATGGCCGTCTGGGTGGGTGACGCCCGCGGTGTTCACGAACAATCTGAGACGGGTGACACGTTCGCTCTGGTTTGGGCAGCCTTTTGTTTCCGGCTCGAGGAGACGACGCCGCTGCGTGGCTCAGCCTCCGGGGCCGGGCCGGGCCGGGCCGGGTTGGATCGCGACTCGCGAGAGAGCTCGTCCCTGAAACCGAAAGGCAGCGGCGCCGCCGCCGGTGCCGAGAGTGTGCGGGAGCTGCGTGCGTCGACCGGCCGGCGCGGTGTCACTTCGGGCGCATGCTGCCTGGTGGTGCCAATGCCGAGAGCTGAGCGCCTGAACATGCGCTGATGGCCACTGCACAATTTGTGTTCTACTGTTACCAGTGGCACCTGTTCCCACCCTGATTCTCGTAGTTTCTCTTCGACGATCCTTTACTGCTAACGGTGGCAAAAGCAAAAAAAAACCGAGGTATCTTGTTTTTCCCTCAAACACAGAAGCAGATGGCTTTTCACATCCTTCAGAGACCCAAACAACTCACAACAACAGAACAAAGCCAACACAGACATAACGAATCAGGTTGGGTTTGCAATATACGCGATGCTTTTATAGCAAGACTCGACGAAACAAATGGTTTCCACAGATAATATGGAAAATTGGATCTATACCATTGAAAGAACCAGCGTTTAGAAAAATAGCATCCAAAAATTCAGCTTTGGAAAAATAGCATTGAAAGCTCTCTCCGTTATAGTTTCCTAGCATCTCTGTTAACTTCCCGTTAACACACACCACACAACAACAGAACACACGCACGCAGCATGGCCGACGCGAGGACGACGTCTCGCGCGATCGCCATGGCCGACTGGGCGGGGCTCCACGAGGACCTGCTCGACCTCGTCGTCGCGCGCCTCCCGTCTGCGGCTCCTGGCGCACCGCCGCAGCCGCCTTCACCGCCCGCCGCGGCTGCCCACGCCCCAATGGCCCCTGGCTGCTCCTCCCCACGGATGTCAGCGCCGACCTCGCCCTCGACCGTGGCCGCCTAATCGTGTGCCCCGACCGCGTGGTCTCCGTGGAGGCGTGGACACCCTCCCAGCGCGCCTGGGCCGCGTGAACCCGCACCAGGTTCGTGCCCCTCGGCTCCGTGCGCGGGTCGATAGTCATCGCGGACGAGCGTGGCGAGATGCCCATGCACCTACTTGACCTCGTTTCAGGCGTGCGCAAGCCGCTCCCAGCCATCGCCACGCTCCCCCTTGTCGACCGCAAGGCCTCCAGGTCCAGCACCTCGGTGGCGGCGTCCTCCCAATCGATGCCGTAATCCAAGGCCATCCCGGTGCCCACCCCCGACGGCGGCGTCATGGCCTCCTGGTGGAGTCCTCCCACGGCGAGCTGATGCAGGTGGAGCTGCTCCGCCCCGTGACGGCCGCGAGAGGAGAAGGGTTTCATGGTACGCGTGCTGGACGAGTGCAGGGAGACGTGGGACTGTGGGAGGATACGGAATACATCAGCGACGCCGCCGTGCTCGTGGACGCGGCGGGCGCCATGGCCGCGTCCACCATGGTGTGTCCCGCGCTGAGGCCCAACACAGTATACTATGCCGTGGACCTGGAGGGGGAGACGCGAGTGTGGGCGTACAGCCTCGCGGGCAAGCATAAGCGCATCGAGGTCGTGGAGGTGCTCCCGACCGCCGGAGTTTGCAGTAGCAGCACCATTGTGAGTGGTGGTGGTCGTAGGACGGCAGGAGAGAGCAGCGCAACGTTCCAGTGAACGTCCAATTAACGGAAATGGTAGAAGGCAACACCAAACCTATCTTTTGATGCTAAATTTCTAAAGCTGAATCTTTGGATGCTATTTTTCTGAACTCTGGTTCTTTCAATGGTATAGATCCAATTTCCCCCAGATAATAAGGTAGTAGTACTGTACAACCACAGCAACTCCTCAATGGAGAGTTTCTACGTTTCCACACATTCACACAATAGCAAATTCAGGTACTGGGCACGTTCGGACCTTCGTCAGGACTCTGGTTACTTGGACCTTAGGTTTGTTTCCTTGAAACGAACTTGAACCTGAACCTTGCAGAGTTGCAGCTTCCACAAACCAGCTGTTTATTTATCTATCTACTCCATCCATGCTATAGCGTGTACCCTCTTCAGGAGATTGGGATGACCCATGATTTTGGCTTTCTGTTGCGCCTTGGATCACGGCCTTGCTCGGTCCCAGGAAGCGCCCAGCCCCAGGCCGATCGCCGGTCACGTCCATTGGAGCTACGGTTACCTGTGGTACACCATCAGGTGGAGAACTCAAGGTTAGAGAAGGTGGCCGATGCAACAATGCAACATTCGATCTCGATGGATCAACATGACTTGCAGAGGACCATCTTGACAAACCATACATAGAAAACCTTGACACATTCAGAACTACAACAGACAGCCCCCAACATTTTATTTCAGGATTTTAGAGTTCAAACATAATTTCAGTTATTAAAGTATGCTGCAATTTTGTTTGCTACATAAACCTTTGCGCCAGTAACTGTTGCTAAGCAGGAGTAATCACCTAGCAAACCAGTATAGAAGGAAGTAAGACTACAAGGATGGGCATCAAGCGAGATGCTCATGTTTACATGCTCATAACCATGGGTGACCCTGCTTGTTGTCAGGTATGTACATGCGTCCTGGAGCAAGATTTCATCCTAACCATTTCTAGAATCCAAAGTAGTCATTAATGTCGCCATGGAATCATGGACACTGTTTCTTCTCTAATGCACTCAAGGCTTACTTTTTCCTCCAATTATCGTAATTTGTTCCATGTTCAAACCAAACATGCGACTCTTTCATTAGTAGCTTCAGTACAAAATTAATGTTATAGGGACTTTGCTTGTACATGGCTACTGGACACAATCTTGAAGCATGTCAGCTCCTAAACCCACTAGGCACTGAAGCAATACAAGAAAATCGTAACTGAACTATGCACTTTATGCTCCACAGTGCAGACAGTTAAATAATTCGGTGTGGGGAAAAAAATGCAAGAGGCCAAGAGCAGCAATACCCACACAATGTGCACTGAGTCCTGTAAAAGATGCTCAAGCAACAAGTTTATCTCCACAGTGTTCATCTCAGATTACGCTAGTGTTTATTAAATGAAAAAGAAAAATGCTTTTGTTTTATAGATTTGTAGTACTTCATATTTCAGCATCTACTTGTTGATGTACACTGTAGGTAGCGTCTCACTAAGAAGTCAGAAGGCAGTCTCACTATAGTTTTCACTTATGATGACATTCACTAGGACTTCAACTTGGTATAAATAAAGACAGACCAAATGCAAGTGCATAGTGGACGACAACCTATCTTGGTATGGAATCTTCTTCAACAATTAATAATGCTAAAAAAACAAATTCTCTGTCTTCAGAAAGTACAACCTACTTGGTTGATCAAGTCTATTGAGAAGCGATTTGCATAACTTCTTATACAAATATAAAGCACGACTTACCAGAATTATCACTATTAGGTGCACCAGCATTTTGGTTCCAGCCAGGCAAGTAATGTCCAGCATTCCCCTTCCATGATTCCTCAAATCCAGCTAGTTCATCTATAAAGTACTTGAGTTAGAATTAATGAAAATTGAATCTCAGACACATCAAGGGAAGCTAGACATATCAAACTAACCTTCATTCAGGTTGTGCAGCGTCTGTGTGGTGTCAACCTTCCCATCTGAATTCAGTTTCCTTGTCAGGGAATGGCCCTAAAAAAATTCAAAGAAAAATTAGTTATACAGCACCAAATTCAAGGCTAATTTGTTTTTGTCTTTTTTGATCCATTAGCAATTGATAAGTCAACTTTGTGCTAGGCACACAATCGTGTGTGCACCGGGCTACTCAATATAATTTTGATTAATCAAGTACAGCTCTGAACATAGCAAAGATTGTCAACCTTATCATGGATTCCACGGGAGATTTTATGAGTGGCCTCTTTAGTTGTTGTATCTGCTTCCTTGCTTTCTTCCACAGTGATCTGCAAGAAGCATAAGTATCGTCGCTTCTACCTCCAAGAACCACAAAATAAGGCATCACTTGCAGCTTCCTAAGAAACTAGCTTACCCCATCACTGCCAGTCCGCCGAGTCTTTGAAGCAGTGTAGTAAGCTCCATTAATACCACCATACGTCACGGAAGAGCGATGATATGTGAAAGTACGAGCCTGCGGCTGCCCTCCACTATTAGCCCCCTATTGAGATCCCTGTGCAGCTCGACTTGGCCACCTTCTGTCCCTACAAAGAAACAAATCAAAAGATGTGAAACATACATATCATCCTTGCAACAACTCCATGAAACTAGACAAGTAAACCGAATCATCCAGGCTCCTACCATCACTCCCATCATCCGGCTCCTGAACATAAGAGTCTTGGTTGGGTTGCTCGTTACCGTGCTCTGCATTTTCTGCCTTATCCTCATCAACCTCTGTGATCACAGGCCTTCTGCTGTTACCCCTAGAAGGAGCTTGCTCGATGAACCCATCATTCCCCATGTCCCCGAAAGGCCCTCCCATCGGCCCAAAAGGGCTAGGTCCAAACATGTCATGGTCACCCATCATCCGACCCCCAAATGGACGGGTAAAGAAGGGATCATCAAATGGATCCCTCCCTCCAAAGAAGCTAGAAATCAAGCTCCTGTGGGGGCCAAAGCTGACAAACCCAGCAAATGGATCCCTGCGCCTGAAGCCTTCCCCATTCTGCCCTCTATCCATTTCGCAGAAATTAGGTGGGCTCTGCAAGCTGCAATAGTTATGGTAGTAGTGAGTTACTCGCAACAATTTATCACACACACAGTAATAAGCATCCTAGAATGCGAAATTTCTCATGCAAGCGTCCTTCCATTCCTTCCCCAAACAAAACTATTGAACTTGAGAAAGGTAGTAAACAATTGTGCTGAGCATAAGCATCGCTAAATGGGTTTAATCAATAAAGAAATTTGCGCCCATATGGGTATCTACCTTTAATCACCCCCCCTTTTCTGAGAAAAGACCTAACCCATCGGTGGTTCGAGGAGAGCTAATACACCATCGACATGCACGCACATTCCTAGCTCAATCGAATGAATAGAACACCGCCACCAATCCGACCAGAAAGGTATCAAACCGAAATGCGAAACAAGCGCTGGAGACTACACGACGAACGCTCCAGCGATCCCTAACTGCCTAGCAGGAAATTAACCGAAGAGTATATCCCTGCCGTCGCTACCTGAAGGCTGAAGGCGGAAGGCCCTCCTGGAGCGCGCGCGCAAGGGGACGGCCGTCTAAGGGAGGGATCGCCGGAAGAACTCCGGAACCTGGTGGCCGGGGACGGCTTTTATTTTGGGTTGGTGAATGAATGGGGGTGGTCGGATTGGGGAGGCGAGGAAATTAGCCGAAGGCGCTGTGTGTGTGGTGTCTGGAATTTGCCTTCTCCCGAACGTTCGGGTCGTGGAGGTCCGCGAACCATCCAGACTGCGTGCTTGAAATTGTCCAGACTGCGTTACTCAGGGCTCAGGCACTGTGTGTGTGGTGTCTGAAATTTGCCTTCTCCAGACTGCGTTACTCAGGGCTCAGGCACTCAGCTCTCCGGCTGCTATTTTTAATCATTTTAAAAAGAAATTTTAAAACTAACCCCAACTGCCTTTTACCAGGCACTCGAGAAGTTAAATAATTTTACATTTTAATTAAAATATTTATAAGGTATTAATATTTTATAGTAAATGTATTTAATGATATGAATGCTGATATTTTTGTAAATCTAACTAAACTTTAAATTATTTGACTCTATGTTAAATGAGAGATTTTTTTTTGACTGAGGAAGTAGTAGTACAACGCTAGGCATCAGGCATTGCAAAGGTCTATGGAGCTTTTGGTTGGTTACCAAACTACGCGGCACCCTGCATCACTTTTTGCGCCGTAGACGAGGCAAGCGTTTGGTTCGCTTCCGTAATCTGCTGCTGCAGTTGCGGCATGCCGCGCCCGCAACCCACTCACGCGGTTCATTTGCGAGGCCACAATCTGCCGCAGTTGCGGCGGCCGAATTCGACGCCGCAATTACGGTGCGAGGCCCAGGATCCCACGGCAAGAACCAAACGAACCCCTACTATCCTGCAAAATTCAATATTAAACAAAATTTTGTGGAAGGAGAAAAGGAAATGAGAAATTAATATATACATTGTCACGGATACATTGTGCATGTCGGGTCCATAATCATACTATTCAAGTGTTGATTTTTCTTTTCCCCCCTTTCATAAAATTTTGTTTACCCTCAAATCTATCTCTTATAAAAGCAAAAACCTCACTTATCTCTCAATCTTCACATGCAAGTCATCCACATTGTGTACTCCACTAAGTGCCACATCATCCCTAGATAATTACTGCAACATCTTCCACTAAATCCAATTACTATTTTTAGTTAGTCAACACACAAGATATCCACATTGTACTTTTGTTTGTCTATCATATTCTTCTATAATTTAATCTAATTTTCTATAAATATTTTATTTGAAAGTCCTACGACAACACGTAAGGTATTCTTCTAATTCTGCGTGATGGTAAATCCACTTCTGTTGAATTTTATGTGTTGACCCACTGGGACCATCTAAACTTCTTGTAGGCTCTGAGCATTCTAACTTTGAAATATTTAACCTAATATTTTTAAATTTACTCTAGCAAAATAATGGTCTAATAAATAACTTGTTGATTATATATTTTTACAAAAAATATCATTCTGACAAATTTTAAAAAGAAACTAAAAATATGACCAAAAAATCCCTTCCTTCCATACGACCGGAAGGCTCATCCCCATCTGTTTTATAATAAATTTGCTATCTCACACTTCGAGAAGTCAACTAATTTTAGGTCTGACTAAATTTAAAAGAAATAATGTTAATATTTGCATCTGTAAATAAGTTTACTTAAATAAGTGGTGTTCTTGTTTCTCGAGGAGTCAAACGTTTTCAACTTTAATCAAATATATACAAGAAAATATTAATATTTATAGTACTCAATTAGTATTATTAGATAGATCGTTCAAATATTTTCATAATAAACTTATTTGAAGATACAAACGTTGCTAATATTTTCTAAAAAAACTAGTCAATTTGATAAAAGTTTGACCGGCACGGATACCATTGCAACACTTATTTTGGAACAGAGGGAGTATAACATAATTAATCTAATAGTGTCTACTACTCCATATTTGGTATAATAAGTATTATTATTTTATATATTTGATCAATTGATTGATTTTTATAAGATGTGTACTGTATTTATTTTTTTATGCCGAGAGGGTACTTACTCCGTACTATTTTTGTTCGTGGAACAAATTTTTTGAAGGCTCCTCGCATGGTCCACAAAGCCGCAGCTCCGGTCGGTCTTCTGGAAGAGGAAGGGATTTCTTCCTCGCCAGCGAAGACGACAAAATTCACTTTCCCGGTTTCCCCCAACAGGCCAACACTTCCGTCTTCTTCCTCGCACTGCCTTCGCCTCGGAGTGCGGCTCCGCCTCTGCCATCTCCGCGCTCCGAGCCCGCTTCGACTCTTCGAGCTCCACTTGCTCGATCTCTCCCATCTTTGAGCCCGTCACCCCCATTCTAGATTCTAGCTCCTCTCCGTCCCCGTCTTAACCGTCTAGATCTAGGCGGGGTGGATGCAGTCTGCTGTGATGTGAAGGGAGGAACCTATCGACCAAGTTCGATCATTTACTTCCGTTCCGATGTCAGAATGGGTAGAATCCTGTGTCTCGGAGGTCGGATGCCGCACACTGGTGGAGCTTGGGTACATGCCGGAGAAGCCACTGATTGGATGGCGGCCGGCGGCCGGCGACGCGGTCCCGGCGCCGAACGCCGGTGAGATCGTGGTCTTCGCGCCCTTCTTGGAGCGTGGGTTCTCGGTGCCGACGCACCCGTTCTTCCGCCGTCTCCTCGATTACTACGGCCTGCAGCTTCACCACTTGAACCCTAACGGTATGCTCCACATCTCAATCTTCATCACTCTCTGCGAGGCGTACCTGGGAATCGAGCCGCACTTCGGGTTGTGGAAATGGCTATATTGTGTGAGGCCAGTAAGCAGGCTAGACCCCAACATCACCATTGGAGGAGCCGGCATCCAGCTTCGTTCGAGGACGCCATACGTCTCCATCCCGCTGCGGACATCCAACAAAGGATGGCACTCGAGGTGGTTTTACTGCCGGAACGAGAAGCCATCACTGCCTGACTTCGTTGCTGACCATTGCCCTGTTAAGCTGCCGTCGTGGCATATTCCCCCATCTGCCGACGAGATGGCCGAGGTGGAGAAGATCATCCCACACCTCAATGAATTGATCCAAGATGGCCTCGACGGAGCCGATTTGATCGCTACCTTCTTGTCTCGTCGGATCCAACCGATCAAGAAGAGGTGCCATCGGATGTCTGAATTCACCGGTAATTCTGACCCCACACGGGAGACGCCTGTGAAGTTGCCTGAAGATGAAATTTTTTCCCGGGCGGCCCATCTTCTGTCAACTGATACTAAGATTTGCACCCATGGCAAGCCACTTCCGTGTCATCACAAAAGACCAGTGAAACATGTCAGCGTTCCTTTTCTCTTGAGTTTTTCTTATAACTTATAGTATAAGCTGTTAAATCATTAATGCTAATTGATCGATGCTCTTGTTACAGGACCTGAGCAAGTACCTTTCCGTGACTCTGGAGGAAGACGAAGAGGGAGCCATGCCACAGACGACAGACGCCGCCACCCTTGTCAGCCAGGCCCCTCTGAAGAACCCGAGGATCCCTGGTGCTGGCTCCTCTGGGGAGTCTGTCCAACAGAAGGCCAAGGAAGTTGTGGCCCGCTCCTGCAGTGAGATGGCACAACAGAGAGAGTCCGGCAACAGTGCGCCAATTGCCCAGCCGCCGTCTGACGACGAGGATACGGAGACCCTGTCCCATAGGAAGAAGAGAAAGTTCGCTGAGGCCCTCGCTTGCTCCACTGTAGACGTCGGGTCTGTGCACGTGTCGCCTCCACAGGCGGCCTCTCTGCCACCTCAATCGGAGCCATGTCCACTCCGGTCATCGCCGGCACTTCATGCTTCTCCTACCACTACGACGCTGCCCACCTTGACTGCTCCCAAGTCAATCAAGATGGCACACGTGCCTTGCCGACCTCTCCCGCATGACAACCTGGGGTCTAGTCAGCAGTCGGATGGGTTCGCTACAGACTCTGAAGTGGAGGGAGAGGTACATGGAAAGAAGGCCGAGGAGGAGCCAGGGATGCTCTATGTCCAGATGAAGGACACGGAGAGCAAGCTGCTATGGGAGATCGATGATGAGGAGCGCACCGAGGTCGAGTGGGAGAAGGTCAAGGAGTCTGCAACGTCCTTCATGACTAGACTCCCTGAGATCACTCTCAGCCTCAAGCGTGCCTCCGAGATGATAGTTAAATTGAAGAAGGAGAACAAGGATCTGGAAGTTAAATTGAAGCAGGAAAACAAGGATCTGGAAGTTAAATTGAAGCAGGAGAACAAGGAGCTGGAAGTCAAATTGAAGCAGGAGAACAAGGAGCTGGAAGTCAAATTGAAGCAGGAGAACAAGGAGCTAGAAGTTAAACTGAAGCAGGAGAACGAGGTTGCTGGAGGTAAATTTCTTCTGACTCCCGGAGTTGTTTTTAATTTGGATGTGTTATGGGCTGTAACCTGGTCCGATTCTTGTAGCTTTTGAGAAGAAGGCCAGCGATCTGTCTAAGGAGCTTGACATTGTGCGCGCGGATCGCGATTCCCTCAGCCGGGGGTTCCAGGATGCCAAGAAGAAAGCTGCTGGTAAGCCCGTGACTTATTCTCAGCACTTGTATATCGCTTTATTTATCATCTTGATCGATGCAGCATGAGCTATTTGTGTGATTACAGACTTGTGTGATGCCTTTGATGCTATTCAAGCTGCTGCGACAAGTTCTCGATTGACAATCCGACCCCAGACGGTGTTGAGGCTGTCACCGAGTGACTGGGTAACTTCCCTGAGCTGACTGAAGAAGCAGCAGCGGCTGATGGGGGACACTGCCGCTTCAGGATGCAGTTAGCGCTTGCAACAAGAGGTTGACGACCTTATGGTGCAGTTGCACTTGCAGGCAAGGCCGGTAGGCAGAACTTTCAGGATGCATTAGGCACGCGAACCTTCCAGGCTGGACGTGCTCGGAAGAAATTGGTACTCGGGCTGATCCGCTGATGGGTTAATGGTCACCCTTCCGTCCTAAATAAAAAAATATACATATTATTTCTCAAGAAGTCAAATAGTCTTGCATAAAAAAGAAGTCAAATAATCATATTATATGACATTAATATTTGTGATATATAATAATTTAATAATAATAATAATAATAATAATCGGTGTGGGGCCGCTGCTGCTGCTCGCACGGTCGTGCGGCGCTGCCCCTATCCTGCGCGCTGCCGCGCTGCTAGCCCACCGCGCATCGTGACGTAGTCGTTGCCGCTGCCGTCACGTCATCCTTGCGCTCGCGCCTGGTCGCTACACCGCGCTATGCCTCTGGCCCGGTTGGATGCCGCGCGCATGTGGCCGTGCTTGTCGTCACCACGCCATTGATGGCACTGCGGCACGTGGACCATGCCGGTCGCGAACGCGCGCACCTATCTGCTAGCACCTGGACTTGGGTCTCCACGGTTGCGCCAACCACATCCAGCCAAGGTGTGCACACGCTGAGCCACTGGCCGTACCCTACTGCCCTCTCTCTGTTTCTTATCTCTCTGCCGCCGTCGAGCCGCGCCCACGTGCGAGCCAGAGAGCGGTCACCTCTACTCAATTTCGCCCATCTGCACCTTCGCCCTCCCGTCTTCTCGCCGCCTGACCCCGCACAGTCATGATGATGGCCCGCCCAAGTGCCAATTTGGCGCCTTTCCACCGGCGCACCGTTAAGGTCGTGCCTCGGCCATGACCGAGGGCAGACCTCCATTCCTCCACCTGAGCCCAATTGCTTGTGCCGCTACATTCGCCTTGCTCCCCTCTTCGCCCTGTGCACCCAGTCTAGTCGCTACCGCCTCTACTCCACCGCTGACGTGACCGTGCCACCGCGGTATGCCGCCGCACGGTGCGGCCGCACGCGGCCGGCCTCCCTCCATCGCTCTCTGCTTCAACCCTCACTGCGGCTTGGCTTATGGTAGTCCCTTGATGCTCTCACGGTAGGTGGTTGGGACCGTAGCAGCTCTAGTTCGTCGGGGCGGCTACGCCACCGTTGCGGCCGGTCGCGCGTCGCCGTAGTCATCTCCAGCTCATCCCACAGTCCCGTGTCGCTGCTAGGTGTGGGTAGTGGAACCCTAGATGAGGGTTGGCCCGACCGACAGGTCGGAGTGGACCTCTGGTGGCCGGCATAGCTTCTCCATGTCGCCGCTCGCTGCGCCGCCACACGCGGGGTCACCGGGGGGTGTGCGCGGGAAAATTTCCAAAATCCCAGGGGGTTAAGCGAGAGGAGCTATGAGTGATAGGAATAGTGATAGGACTCCGGTGCAGTTTGGGAAGAATCTGGGGTGCTGGCCGCAAAAGTGCCACGCGCGCGGGCTCTCTCCGTCGTGGACCGGCCTACGTCGCGTGGTCCGCGAGTGTGGGTCAGCGCAAGAAACTGGTTTTCCTTTTTCAGGGAATTAGCAAATGTTTTTCTAATTTAGATTTGAGTTGATCTTTGGTAAATCATAACAAATCATGTAGGTGTCCAAAAATTATGTAATAAATTTTGTTTGACTCCTAAAATTTTGCTCTGTTTGTTGGTATAGTTAGTTCATGCTTATATATGCTGACATTAGGAACTATTAAATAGTTTAAAGAATGCTTAATATTGTTAAGCAAATAATTGTAGGAATTTTGGTGGCAAAATGGTAATAGCTTTAGACCTAAAAATTTTATGGTACTTTCATTGTATTATTATGTGCTCACTGTAATTTTTGTATCCTTAGAATAGCCTAAGTCTTAGGGTAGTGGGATGCTCCTTGTTTTAATATATGTTAAATCGTTAGTAGGAGTAAGGATATATTTTTAGTTGCTAAGTTCATACATGTTAGATGAACCCATTGCCTTGTTTGCTGAAAATAATAGTTAGCTTAGTATCTTAGTCATTAGAGCTAGTTTAGTAGCTTAGTAGATGTATTCTTATTTTAAGAGTTACTGTTGCTTAAATACTAAATGTTGCATCATCATCGCATGCATGTAGAGAACGAGTTGGTGGAGATAGTGACCATAGACGATCGCGAGTTCGAGGAGATCATCGAAGAATATGAGGAGGAGATCCTCATGAGGGAGGAGGTCTCAGAGCACGGCCGACTGACACAGCTGACACCACGCCTACCCAAGGCAAGCCCCGGTGCATAACCCTTATTTTGATAATCACTGTATATGTATGAGTTATGCATTTACATTATAGGAATTTATGAAAACCACATGCATAGATATATCTACCTACGAGTCCCACTAGTATAGGTTCGAGTAGCTGCTATGATTAGGTTTTCGGTAGCGTGAGTAACCTGCCGTTACTCACAATAGGTATTATTATAATTACTCTCATGATAAAATGATGAAAGAAAAAATGGAGACCGGACAGAATATGGTACGGGTATTGGTGGGTGTAATAGGTTGAGTCCCCACGACCAATGGGGCATAGCTTGGTTACACTGTTTTCCTTGTCCGTGTCGATTGAGGACAGTCCATTGCTGTGGATGGTAGTCAGGTCACAGACTTATTATCCTGAGCACATACTTGCTTATGGGAGCGGGAAGGCTCGTTACGCTCTTGTCATGGGTTCCGACTCTTTCCGGGTCGACTGATTGGAGATGGGGAAAGGTGGAGGTCTAAGCACCATATTAAGACTGGGTCTCAAGTGTGGGGCTTGGAGTCCAATTTGGACGGGGACCTTGAAAGGTCCTAATGTCTAGAGGGGGGGTGAATAGCCTATTAAAAATTTCTACAACAACACTAAGACAAATGATTAGTCAATAAGATGGCGAAGCGAATTTTGCGCTAGCACTATACTTGGGGTTGCAAGCCACCTACCCAATTCTATTTTCTATGATCTCTAGTATATCACAACAAAGCTATGTCACTAATATACACCTAGGTGATCAACCTAGTAAGAGTAATACAATTAAATGATACACTATCTAGTCTTAACTACCACTAGCTCTTTCCAAGTGAATGTATAATGAAATACAAGAAGTGGTAGAGAGATATACCGCCGTGGCAAGTGACCAATGAGTGAATACCAATGAATACCAAGGAGACAATCAAGACACAATGATTTTTCCTCTGAGGTTCACTTGCTTGCCGGCAAGCTAGTCCCCGTTGTGGTGATTCACTCATTTGGAGGTTCACACGCTAATTGGCATCACACGCCAAACCCTCAATAGGGTGCCACACAACCAACACAAGATGAGGATCACACAAGCCACGAGCAATTTACTAGAGTACCTTTTGACTCTCCGTCGGGGAAAGGTCAAGAACCCCTCACAATCACCACGATCGGAGCCGGAGACAATCACCAACCTCCGCTCGACGATCCTCGCTGCTCCAAGCTATCTAGGTGGCGGCAACCACCAAGAGTAACAAGCCAAACCCACAGCGAAACACGAATACCAAGTGCCTCTAGATGCAAACACTCAAGCAATGCACTTTGATTCTCTCCCAATCTCAAGATGATGACTCAAAGATGGAGATGAGTGGGAGGGCTTTGACTAAGCTCATAAGGTTGCCATGTCAATGCAAATGGCCAAGAGGGTGAGCTAGAGCCAGCCAAACGATATTTATAGACACCCCCAAACAATAGAACCGTTGTCTCAATTATTAGGCTGACTACGGGATGACCGCATGCACAGGTAGTGTGCATTGGACATGTCTGGTTTGGTGACCGGACATGTCCGGTTGCTGCATCCGGTCGTAGCCTGACCGCCACATGTCCCTTTCAAATTGTTTAGCCATTGGCGCCCAACGGCTATCTCTGCGTACAGTAATACTACGTGATCGGACGCGCTGTTAGAAAACAATCGAACTCGGAAGACGTAGCATCAGGTCAAGTCCAGAGAGCTCCCAGAGCCGCTCTGGGCCAACCGGATGCGTCCAATCACACCGGACCGGATGCTCCCAGCGTTCGATGAATTGTTGCGTTGAAAACCCGAGATTTGCTAGTTCACGGCGACCGGACGCGTCCGGTCGCTCTCTGCAATCCTGCATCGGACTATATCACTTTGATCTAATGCTGAACAGTAACTCATCAGCGTCCGGTCACTCCACTGAGCCAGAGTCCGGTCACTTTCACTTAGTCGCTCACCTCAAGTCCAAATATCAGACGCGTCCGGTCCTGATTCTGAACGTGTCCGGTCACTCTATGACCAGCGCGACTAACTCCTTTTCTACTCTATCTTCCTTATCCTTGCTCAAATGTGCCAACCACCAAGTGTATCACCTTGTGCACATGTGTTAGCATATTTTCACAAATGTTTTCAAGGGTGTTAGCACTCCACTAGATCCTAAATGCATATGCAATGAGTTAGAGCATCTAGTGGCACTTTGATAACCGCATTTCGATTCGAGTTTCACCCCTCTTAATAGTATGGCTATCGATCCTAAATGTGATCACAGTCATTAAGTGTCTCGATCACCAAAACGAAAAAGCTCCTATCAAGTTTCACCTTTGCCTTGAGCTTTTTGTTTTTCTCTTTCTTCTTTTCCAAGTCCACGCATTTGATCATCACCATGCCATCACCATCATCATGATCTTCACCATTGCTTCATCACCTGGAGTAGTGCTACCTATCTCATAATCACTTTGATAAACTAGATTAGCACGTAGGGTTTCATCAATTCACCAAAACCAAACTAGAGCTTTCAATCTCTCCCTTTTTTGGTAATTGATGACAACCCTTTCACAAAGATATGAATTGAAATTCATTTGAATCTATGTTGCTTGCCCAAGCATATTTACCATGTGTAAAAGGATATGGACAAGTTTCATGAATCCCAAATGGTAGCAAT